CCCTGGTGGGAACTACAACCCAACAAGTAGGCAGAAGGAAATGCAAATGGATCGCACAAAAGCTGAGGAGACAAGTGAATGACATCATACTCCAGACAGGTCCTTGGATGGAACCAAAATAGGAAACGACGAGTTGGACATTGCTCAGAATGTGAAATGAAGCAGACCATATGAGGAGGACAGAAGAGTTCATGGGGAATCGTGGAACCAATTAAAGACGGCTGTAAAGAATAGAATGAAATGAATATGCACTATTGAAGCCCTGTGTTGTACTCGAAACTGATGGGAATAAAAAAGTAATGTCTGCTGGGCATTATTATATAATTATTATTATTCCCTTTGGTTCCCACTAGAACAATGGGCTTCAGCAACACGTCTCCACCTTTTTCTATGTTTTGCTGTCCTCTTTAGTTTGGACCACGACTGACCATAATCTGTTGTATCTCCCTTTCGCGATCTTCTCCTTATCACCCTAGGACGACCAACTCTTCGCTTCCCATTCGGGTTCCACTCTAGCGATTGCCTGCATTGCGTGCGATGTCATTCAACGGTCTCCTCAGCCTATACCCTATTCATTGCCACCTTCTTCTGCACATTTCTTTGACGACATGTTCTTGGTTAACTTGGTCCCGTAGTTTCTTTTGTAGAAATCTATCCTAAATTAAAAAATATCCTCGACATTTTGATGTGTTGATGTGTTCAGTAAGTCAGAGGCAATTAAATCACTAAGGGAACATAACCACACCAGAGAGACATCCATCTGAGCTACAAATCTTCTATTTTACTTAAAATTTTCTCGAAATACTCTGAGGAAACCATCAAGTGACATCACTACACAAGCCCTCGAGTGGAACCCAAAAGGGAAGCGGCGAGTTGGTCGTCAGTGCAAAGGTGACTTGGAGGAGGTCATGTGAAGAGGAGATGAAAACGTGTGGGCAGACATGCAGCCAGGTGAAGACTCTAGCAGAAAACCGAACGCAATGGAGACGCACGGCTGAAGCCCTATGTTCCTCTAGGAATTGAAGGATACAATAATAACAATAATAATAATAATTTATTATAAAGAAAGCTGCATAAAGTATTTGCAAGAGAAAACACAAATCCTTAAGACTGTGAATATTAGAACTCTGATTTTGCGCTATTAAATCAGTAGTTTGACATTCCATTATATATCACAAAGCTGAATGTATGAAAAACACAGAAATGGATTTGTAAAACATTTTAAAAAGAGTGTTATGCATTCTTAGTTCGCACTTACGTATCGGTCAAAGATCATGAAAATCTTTTCTGTAGTTTGAAAATGTCACCGTCAGTATGATCGTATCCACCAAAATATATTTGTTACTTTTATTTATGGGACGCGTTTGTTCAAGCCCAATCAATAAATAAATCAATATTGTCTTAAAATTCGTATTCGCTTTTATCGGAACCCTAAAAACGCTTTTCGTCCTATTTTGGGATTCATCATCTGGATGTAACTACTATTTCCAGTAAGTTATGGTATTCTCAAGAAAGAACTGGACCCAGAAGCTTCCGTTTCAAACAACAAAGCTAATTCCACATCGTGGATTCTACTACTAGTCACTATTTAGCAAATATTATTAAAACTATTACTTCATTGGGTTCCGTGTGGAGCATAGGGCTTCAATAACACTTGTGGATTTCATCCCATCTCCTGTGGTTATCTTTCGCTAGCTGCAAAATTCCCAATAAGATTTCATTTTCTCCTCAGACGATTTCCTTCATATCACTTTCAGACCAAAATCCAACTTATTGTTTCCAATTCTGGTTCTACTCAGCGGACTGGCTGTAGGTGTCGGTCAGTAGTCTCCTCAGAGTTTGTATGTCCCGTCTCCTTTCCTACAGTAGTAGGTTGTGAGTCGATTCGTCGCCAAAGAGTTTTGATGCAAATTCTTTCTAACCATTTGATCTTCAGTATGAATATTTCAGTCCACTATGAAAGGCAATCAGTGGAATATGCAAAAATTAACTTCAACAAATAATTTTTTCCATCATTCATTCCAGAGATGCACAATAATCTTCTTGTCATCCGCAATACGACTACTGAATTCTGTGGAAATTAAAAAAACATTTCAGTATTTTCAAAAGAATGGATACTGAACAAAGAGTACTCTTTTCGATAACTTCATCATCAGGCTCTACAGTTATATATACATTAAAGTAAATGAATGAATTAGTGTTATGAACAACTGTAGTGCCGTTTAAATAACATCGAATCAAAAATATCAATAGATTACAGTTCAGTAGCATCAACATAACAATAAACTGAATGTCAGAAAAATTAGGAAAGATAATATTACAAATTCATGAGTTTATAGTCTCTACTGAAGGCCAGCGCAGTACTTGGGGCTGGACTTGCTTCTTTTGAACACAGAGCACTGGATGTTTGAGGCGAATTGCAATAGCCTCTGCTGTTTGGAGCATGCGGTGCTTCGATGGTTTTGGCAATTTATTAGGCACCCGTTGGATGATAGAGAAGGATTCTTCAACGCTGGCTGCCTTTTTGGCCGGTTTGGATCAGATGGTCCAATATCGAACTGTTAATGGTTTTAACTACACCTTTACTTAGCCATAGTGGGAGATGTTCCCCAGCGAGCACGAAAAATCAAGTTCCTAGAGCAACGGCCGATATAACTTGCTCCACTACAACTGCAGTTGAATTGGTAGATACAATTTGAAATGGATAGTCTAGGTACTTCATCTTTCAGTCGAGGAATCACCATCTGTCGTGTACAGAATAAGACGTGTAGTTCGCCAGCATTAGGAGTTCTTTGAACTGATTGTCATAATTTGTTCGTAATTAATTAGCTTGATACATCGCTCTTGAATTGCAGTCGTATGTATAAAGGCTTTTCGTATACGGATAGTGCGTAGTCCTTTTCCGCTTTCATTGTCATGTGTTTCTTGATAAATTTGTCGGGATAGCTAAATATTTTCGATCAAAGTATCATATACAGTGTTTAGCTCATCTTTAATTACTTCTTCTGAGCATATAGCTCTAACTCTGTGGCTGAGGGTCTTTACTAAATTTCTTTTGAACTTGATAGGAACGAAGCTGTGAAAATGTGTATATTGTCCTGCCCAAGTACTTTTTCTACGCATATTTCTTTTTATGCTACCATCTGGTTTTCTTGTAAGTAGGAAATCCAAGAGGGCAATTCTGTCTTGGGATTCCTCCTTGCATGTGAATTTCATAGCCGAATGTACTTCATTGAATGCGTCGGTGACTCAGCTGTAGGATGCTCGCCGACCATGTGTTCAGTTCCTTACCGACACACATCTTTACCTCCCCTAGCCAGTTGTAATCCCGACAAAGAAAACGGAGGTTAGGCGTCAGGCTATCAACCCCACTTCGGAAAAATATACCACTGCTACCGGAACTTCATGGCTCAAGCTTGAAGCCCTCCTATGTTCCATTTAGAACGTAAGGGAATGAAAAAAATATTACTTGAATGCAGTATTACTGCAGGCATATGTTATGCATAGGTACAGCTGAATTAATAAACATAACCAATGCGAATATGCGTAGATACACTGCACGTTTTAGCGAGAAAAAGGTTTATTTACTGGAAGCAAGAATAATATTTTCCAGGTGTGAACACCATTTATATGTAATCCATGAATTAACACTCATAACTGATGTAACTTGGTTTAGCTTTCTTTTCTTTTTTTTATTCATTAAATATTTTGCGTTTATCTGTCACCATAGATTCCATACACTTTAAACATTAATTGGTAAATTAAGCAGTCATAGATTAAATACCGCTAACTATTCTACTAAAATCAAATATCCATGGAAACGTTTCTTTGAATTTTCATGTGTAATTCAGAATGAAACATTATACTAAATATTTTTTCACGTTTATATGTGGATAACAAAAACTAGTACACAGTTTAATTTAAGTAAATCACAGGATAAGGTGATTTGAAGCTTTGATTGTTTAATTCACAAAATTTGACATTGTATTACTAGATTGTGAATTTAAAAGTCAAGGTTGAAACAAGGTGATAGAATCATCGGCATCGTTGGTGGATCATCTCCGAATGCAAGACAGTTGATATGATCATCGTAATGCACATTATTTTCATACCTTGCGTCCCCGGTGGAACAAAGGGTTCCTAGGATTTCAAGTCTAAGTAGCCTCACGCCAAGGCCCGCCTCTATTTTACTGGTTTACTACGGAATAGGCGAGGTTAAAGACTGCATCACACAGAGGATTCACACACTGACCTTCTAAGTGTCTGGTAAGCCTTCTGTCATTGAACCATTGACGCCAGTTGAATACTTCTTTGCAGAATGATAATAAATATATCTAATTCTGGTTCCTCAAAGTTTCACACTCAGAATTTGAGACCAGTGAACTGTGGCATATTGTAGCGATTTATTTTTAGTTCTGTCGGATTATGCTAGATTTCTGTTGTAGCGATTTTTCAAAACTAACTAGTCAATATATGTATTACGGTATAGTTCAAGTAAAACGGAAACATATGAAGATCATAGCTGAAGGTACTGAATCCTTCCAAGATTGATAAACACTAGACATCAACTAAAGGACAACTGAAAACTACCAGGGAGTTTTTGATGTGGTTGTGTTCTCTGAGCTGGATAGTTAGTTCGCGAAGCTTTCATCGCCCTACTAGGCGACATCTTCAGCGCATACTTCAATTTAACTTTCTGTGAGAAACAACCAATCAAAAGACTGTATTTTCTACTAACAATAATCTATAATAATGTACATTAAAATCTATAAATATGTGTTCATTTTCCTTAATAAACGATCTGTTGCCTGGCCCTTGTCTTCTGTTGTTACATTATCAATCCATGGTCAAACTTGAAACCAATGGAATCCCCACAAAAATAACACCTGAAAATTGTTTTTATTATTTTCTTTTGCGGTTTTTGAGATATTTCTAAGCATTTAATTAATTCACTAGTCTAACTTGATTGTTTGTTTTTATTGTTCCCTTTTGCCTTTTAGCCTTACGACCCAATAATTGTTCGTCAAAAACGCCATTCAAAGTATAATCAGTTCACCACTCTGTCAGACAGCAAACGACATTATGCCAGTAGAAGGCTACACCATATTTCTGATGACAACTCCAAAGAAATGACAGTACTAAAGCACAAAGCAATGAATTCATTAAAAAGCAGTAATAATAATGAATGTTATCCTGAGCAGATAGTCAGAACATCACGTGACCATCCATTAAGTTGTTGTCCAAGCAACAGCAGTGTAACTGTTGCATCGACTGAGAATTCTAAACACCAAACAGATTGTACAGATAGTCAACCAGTAGTAGCTGTAGACAATGAAGATGACAATGATGAAGGTACAGCAAAGAGGATGAAGAATCAGCGGAAATCACTGGAAACGTTTGATTTTCTTAAAATGCCTGATATCTATGAACAGAATGTAAATGCTGCAAGAAGATTGAAAAGTGAAGTAAGCTATGCAAAGTACAAAAGAAAATGCCAGCTGAGATTACTTATATTAATGAACAGTTTATTTAGTGGGGCATATGGTAAAGCAGATTTTATACAAAATGCTACTGGTAAGTTTTGTGTGAAAATACTGCTACTTTTTTTCTTAAGCATAAATATTTGTTTTCTTATATGAATTTATATATTCCGCCTTCTTGTTAGGTGTTGAGTACTAGATAAACAAATATACGTCGTTACTAGTTACCAACTAGTGTCCAGTCAAAATTATCCAATACAATCAGTCCTACAGGAGTTCAATCTTGAGCCAGCCTGAATAGCCCAGGAGTAACACGTCTCTGTCAGCAGCACTCACTGGGTGACTCGGGTGCAAACCTCAGAAAAGATATGAGTTCCTTCAAGGGTACAGATACGCTTTGCTGACTAGTGAGTGTCAACTAGTACGAAACCTGGGTCTAGGCAGGGCTTCCTGCCGACTACCTTCAACCATCTAACACGAATAAAGATACGTCGTACTGGGAATAAATGAATGTCACCACAACAAAAGAAGATATTAGGTATGCAATTGATATCTTCCACTTCCATACTATCGAATAGGTGGATAGGGAAACTTTGTACTCATCAATAAACACCGACCTTGATTCCTATCAGATATTCAGAAACGTTTTCTTGTTATTTTTTTCACTATAGCTTGATTCCACACCGTTACTTTTGGTAAAAGTATGGAATTTTCAGCATGTAATTTCGTTAGCCCGAATTTTGCAGGCCGATCACTGATATCATATGTGCGTTGGCGGGGGATCGAACCACGGACTGTGTGCATGATCGGCGAGAGTCCTAATCGCTGTGCCACCAACGCACGTAGTACAGTGTGATAATGATTCGTTTTCCCTAAGAAAAAACAATTTGAGGGAATTTTCATGGTATTTGGGGGTAATTTATGAGTTTTGGAAAAAGTGTGGAGCAGAAGTTTAACATTGATTTGTTCCCAAATTATCTTCAGAAATTCTAAATCGCCCCACCCCCGCTCAAATATTTTACTTGGGTTTATTCACTCCAACTGCAGTTTAAGCATAATGCAAGTAAAAGAGTTTTGTATCTCTAACTTTTTTATACTGTTATCGTGTATTAATATCAACATTTATAATAATAATAATAATCAACCTATAAACTCTGGAAGTTTTCTAGCACTTTAATGCTTCCACGAATATGATTATTATTATTGTTTCCTTTAATTCCTAGAGGGACATAGGGCTTCAGCCGTGCGTCTCCATTGCGTTCGGTTCTCTGATAGAGTCTTCACCTGGCTCCAAGTATGCCCATACGTTTTCATCTCCTCTTCACATTACCTCCTCCAAGTCACCCTTGCACTGACGACCAACTCGCCGCTTCCCTTTCGGGTTCCACTCGAGCAATGGCTTGTCTAGTGATGTCACTTGATGGTTTCCACGAATATACTCCATACTATATAATCAGTATATGCTGACTAATTTACCGATATTCTTTTAACTTATATTTCTACGCTTCAATAACAATTTGAAAGAAGTTACCACTTTAACTTATCTAGGAAGCATCATTTCAACTTCAGGCAGAGAATCTCAAACCCAATCAGAATTGGAAAGGTCAAGTAAACTTCCATTAATCGGAAATGAGTTTTGAAATCTACTGCACTTATTGTAAAAAGCGAAATTCGTATTTTCAATACTAATGTCAAATCAGTCACTTCATCGATATGGTTCAGAAACATGGCTCATCCATTGCAAAAACCATTTACAAGAGGAGAGAAATCAACTGCTTTTGCAGTCTGATTACTAAAGATCAAACGGCGAATGAGAAAGGAACAAAAGCAAGGAACTCTTTGGCACAACAAATCAACTAACAACCTATTGACCGAAAAATATACAGAACGAAACTGAGATGGATTAGATACTCACTGAAAGGAGTGTCGAATGATATCGTGCACCAAGCCATCGCTTGAGAGGAATACAAATAAGGAACGAAGAGTTGGTCGTTGGTTGGTCTGATGGTGATATGGGGGAGATCGTGTGGGAAGGAGATAAGAGCCTATGAGTATCCGTGGAGCCAGTTAAACAGGACTTCTGAGAACATGACAAATTGAAGATGTGTTGATGAAGGATTGTGCTCTACCAAGAACCTAAAGTAAACATAATAACTGATTTGATAGAAGAGAGTATTCTGATAGCGTTAAGCTAAATCAAGCCTCCAAATGCTAACGGCTGTCAGCTCAAGATATTGACACAAAAACAACCAATCACGTTCAAGGTCACCCACCAGGAGAGATGACTAATAAACTCGTGGAGAAATCTAAACGCTCACTTCATCAAATTAAAGTATGCGCTGAAGATGTTGCCTAGTAGGGCAATGTAAGCTTTGCAAATAAACTATCCAGCTAGCTCAGGGAACACAACCACATCAAAAACATTACAATTATTTAAATAAAATCTTCATAGTGTGCGTCGGTGGCATTGTGGTTAGGACGCTCGCCGACCATGAACATGGTCCGGGGTTCGATCCCCGGCCGGCGCACTCCCTTACCTCGCTAAGCTAGAAATAAAAAGCTGGTGAAGAGGTAAGGTTGGTCATGAGGCTAGCAACTCCATCCTGTAAAAATAAACACTGCTACAGAAACTTCAAGCCTCTAGCTTGAAGCCCTATGTTCCACTGGGAACGTGAAGGAATAAAACAAATCTCCATAGTATTAGCTTATATAATTTCAATGCGTGACATAAACGTTAATTCATTGTAGACAGTATACTAGAATGCTCGCCGGCCACGTAAGAGATCGGCGTTTGATTTCTTGACACACTATCGTAGACCAAATATAGTTTCCTAGCTAGTAAGAAGCCCAGAAAAGCGGGAATTGCTTAGAGTAATTCTAGCAATCTAACGTCGAACAAATAAAACCCTCTCTTACCTGCAACTTCAAAGCTTCGAGCTGTATGCTTCAATTTGAACATAACGAGACTGAAACAGAAGCCCTATTGGTTAAAATCCTTTTTTATTAGTATCAGTTTCTCTGGACCTCTTATCATTTTAACTAAACTAAATTACTTAAGTGATTCATTTTTCTTAAGAAGAAAAGAAATCACACCTTAGGGATGTTGCGTAATGAAAATGAAAACAACACAGTGTTGATTAAATAAAGTAAAATTTCAAGGGGAAGTAATTAAGAAAAAAAACTGTGCTATACTGTGATAAATTGCTTTATTTATACTGATCCTCAAATTGCTTTGTTGTTCAACTTTAAATTAACTAAATTAAATTCCATTTCTTTACTGTTTTACGGTATTGTATTTCATTAGATTAATACATTTTGCTTAACACTATTGTCAAGGAACTTAACCCTAAGTTCCTTTTATTTGCGAAGACGCTCTGAATCAACAATTATACCAGGTACGATTATGGACTTTAAGTCTAAAACACAAGGACCAATAAGAAATTCTATTGTTCAGCAATTAAAGTCAATATTGGTACAAAGTCTATAAACAAAAGTGTAGTTGAAATGATACTACCTAGCCAGATAAGTAAAGGAATTAACCTCTGTTAGATGGCTCTTGAATGGAAGATGACAATCTGAGGGCGGATCGGAGAGTGACATTGACGAGATAATGCAAGCAGTTAATGAAAACTTATGAGCAATTATGGAGCTAGCTAAAAAAAGACCACCGAGAACAGAGTGAAATGAAGATGTGCTCGCGAAGGCCTGTATTTCACTCGGAACCAAAGGGTGTAATAACAATAATAATAATGTTTTTTTAATCATTGCATTTTTTATTCCTGTATGTTCCCATTGAAACACAGGACTTCAAGCTAAAGGTCTGAAGTTTCGGTAGCAGTGATATTTATTATTTACGGGATGAGGTTGCTTGACTCATGCGCAACCTTCCTTCTTTACAAGTCTCATTCCTGGCTTAGCGAGGTAAATGAGTGCGTCCAGTGGCTGGGGATCGAACCCCGGACGACATGAGGTGTGGTTGGCACGCATTCTACCGCTGTACTACCGAGGAATCATTGCATACGCATATATGTATATGCATAAACTACTTTTCATCTCTCCCCCTATTTTTTCTTGCCTTCTCAAACTCTAGAATCTTCATCAGATAATCAATTACACAAATCAAGTGAATACATATTTCAAAAATTATTCGGTCCACTGAGTAAATATCTACGTCTTACTAAACAGCATACATATCATAATAGAAATATGATATTAAATCGACTTAAAATCTATTTACAGTATAATATGTCAGCTGAAGCATTTCTCAATATCTACTTCAACCCGCCGAATGAATTCATCTCACTACACTATTGTCATCTCTCTTCGAGCATTACTCATAAGCCTTGCAGTCAAACTAACAAGCATAAAATTGCTACAAATAACATTCACTTATGGAAATGTTGGAGAAGAAAATCACAAGCCCCTGGTGAGAATACTTTGAAACACAATACATTGAACAAAGCTTCGCCTAGCAAATCTAATATTAATTCAGATTCAGATAGACAAATATTTCAAACCTGGAAGCTACGACTATGTGATCCATTGAGAAATGCTTCAGTATATGATGGTTTCCGCTTTGAATTAATACGTTCAAATGTCAAGTTATTTTGTTGTGTTAAACAATGCACTTTATTTGAATTGATTCAAGCTAGTTTACCATCGGCATCATCATGGTGGTCATTTGGTTTCCAATATGAATATAATCATAATAATCATATCCTACTGCCGTCGTCTACGGTTGAGACGTGTATTGGTAGTTCAGAGAATACCGCTGAAATCAAACTATAAGACGACAAAAGAGAAAGAAATGTCTGTTTGTGTGGATGTATGTGTGGTTTATGAACAGCATTTTTACTTGTTAAAAAAAAATATTTTTACTTCTCTCTTATACTATATGACTATTCTGTTTTGCATTTCTATACTAAGATAAATTATTTGATTTTATTTCTTGTGTTCTTTTATTCTCTAAACATTACACTTTGATAGAATTGAAAAGTTGTAACCGTTGAGGTCTCTCATTTTGAGTGTGAGAACAAATATGCGCCAGTGATAGTATTTGCTGAATGGTGTACGGGTTTGGATTGTAGCCAAAAAGTCTTTGGTTCGAACCCTGGTGATGAGTGTGTACTGTCAATCAGGCATAAAGTAGTATGAAACAGCTTTCCAGTAGTCCTTGCTAGTTTTTCATGGTTTTTTAGCACTGATATCAGTCTGTGATCGAACTTAAGACAAGTCAGATAGCTAGAAATTAACTCTTCAGACACCGTAAATGATTGCGTGTATTACGTAACATCAGGGTTGGCAGTCACTTTATGGATATCGCAAATATAGAGGAGTTAGAATTGATGGGTCAACTGTTGGATGTTTTTCAAGTAGTTGAATGGTCGGCGAACTCATTTTGTAACCTAAAGGTCCTCGGTTCGATTTCTGGTCGGGTGGTGAGTGAAGAGTCCTAAATAGGGATGAAACTGTTGTTCAGTATTCCCTGTTAGTTTTCATTGATCCACTAAATGAAGTTAGCTTGTGACAAATCTTGAAAGTGAATTTTTTAGTAGAATAATTGTAGAAGCAATGGATTCAGTGTTTAGAAACACTTTGAAAATATTCTTACGAATTAGTGTGCATGGATTCCATTAGTTTCAGGTTCGACCACGGATTGATATCAGTTAGACAACCATTGAAAATGAGCACTGGAGTACTGAAAAGCTGATTCGTCCTAGTGTTTGTGACACATTGTCAGTATGCACCCACCACCATGGTTTGAAACGAGGACCTTCCAGTTACTACGTAAGCTCGTAGACTATTCAGCTCCTGGGACCCAATCCAACGGCGAGCTCACGGATTCTAACTTCTACCGATTCGTGATCCTGGGTTCGAAACCCAGTTGGTGCGTACTGCCAATGAATCTGAAACTAGGATAAAATAACTGTCCAGTAATCCCTGGTTTTAGTGGTTCGCTAACTGATATCAATCCGTAGTCTAACCTGAAACTTTTAAAACAAAAGCTTTCTTTATTAAAAACACGTTACGTCATGTTTACTACTTATACGCAAGCAATAGTAATCTCTTAACAGACTGTTGAAATTTGGCTAAGGTAATTAAAAGGCAGAGTTTATCTCAAAGTGTTGTGATTCACTTGAGCAATGTATTTCAAATATTCTGACTGTTTTGTTTGCTGATCAGTTCACTTCACATGAGAAATGAAAAACTGACCGTCCCGTTAAAATAAACAAAATGTGATAAATATTTATTTACCGCAATTTTGTTTTCTTCCGTTGATCAACAGGACCGGAATGTCAGACCTCAACTGACAAGTTGATTTCTGGTTCGGATGGACACTCCACGTTTGAAATAATGACTGCTGAGTTTGAGTCTCACTGGAAATACCATAATTCACTAGGATTGCATGCAAATCCGGGTGAGGAGTCCCAAAAGGGACGAAATGCCTATCCAAGATTCGATTGGTAGTCACCATGGGTAATTTAAGAATAAGAAGTATGATAATCAACTCTACTCATTTCTAATGTAATCAGATGAAGACTGCCATGGTAGGTTAAGCTTACGTATAGTGGGGAGGGCTTAATTCGACTGATGACTGAGACCTTTGTGAAACAGCATGACTTCGACTTTTTCGATGAATATAATAACAGTAAATTTCTACGAATGACAGTATTAGCTTCTGGATTAAATAAGATTAATTATTTTTCTATTATAGAGTAATTTGATTTGGATATCTTTCTATAGAAGAGCATAGACAATAGATGTTGAAACCTATTGACTTATAAACTGGTTCAAAATCTATAAAGGATATCCTTTTTTATATATGTCCAAACCAAGTTCACTTTTAACAGTTTGAAAAAATCTGGGCATTGGGTATATGATATTCATTATAATTAGGGTTTTTTATTTCCCAATGAATGAAAAACAAAACGATATTGTTTTTACTGACATTTCGCTATTTAATGCTGCTAATAGCTTTATCAAAGTATTATTAAACCAGAATTTACAAAATCTCAGCATATATATAACAAAGAGTTAAGAGGTGAGAAAATAGACTTAGGTCAAGTTAAAAGGACGTATTGAAAGTCAAAATAACAACGAAGATCACTAAACCAAATAACAAAGGTAATAGTACATCTGTTATTGTATCATAACAAAGTTTACTAACTTGATCATCGTTCGTCAGTCTGGGGTCATTTTTCGTTGTCAAATTGGTCAATTGGTAAAGATAACAAAACCAAGTATAGATTGTTGGATTTGATAAGTGTATAAAATTATAAAACAGTGTATGTTTATATGATGATATTGCTTATCACATTCGTGTTGATTTTGTTACTTCATGGGGGAGGGAGTTGTTGTAACCAGGTCAGATTTTGTTTTAGTCCACCATTCCCACTCAGACAATTTGGATTCCACTTGATATGAAGTGCTTCTGATATTAGACGTTCTTTGTGATTTCTAAAGTTTTTCTGGATGATGATTTCAATATTGTCAAAATCATTTTTGTGGCCTGATTCTATAGCATGTAGACCTATGGCTGATGAATTTTCAAGCTTTTCTAGTTCAACCGGATACTCGGCGGTCGAACGGATGCTCTACGGTGTTCATTTCTTCTGACTGTGATTTCTCGAGATGTTTGTCCGATGCATATCGCATAACATTCCAAGCTATTTTTTAAAGACACAATTAGATAGAGAATCTTTAGGGATTTGTTCTTTTATATGGACAAGGTTGTTTCTCAGTGTGTTTGGTGTTTTGAAGAAAACTCTAATGTCGAGCTTATTGAGTACTCTTCTGATATCGTCTGACGTCTCTGCTCTATATGGAATGACAACTGTTGAGGTCCATGTTTTCGGAATAAGTTTTGATATTTAAGTCCCTGAATGTTTTTTCCACATCATATTCACAAGTAGGCTGAATCCTCCTAATTAAGAATTCAACTAAACCTCTATTGTACTGTAATGGACAGAAACTGTGGGAGTTTAAATACTGTCCTGTCTAACTGGACTTTTTATCTGTCGAAAAGAGGCAGGTGCACATTTTAGAGTTATTAGATCTGAAAATGTATAATGATGAATAGACTAAAGAAAACATAATAAATGCCGTATCCAATCGATACATAATTTATGGAAACTTAGCTAACTTTACTGTCAAATGCATATCATTCAATTCATTTTTGAGTGTCAAAAATTATTTTTACAACTTGTGGAACTCAATGAACCGGTGTAGCTGTTTTATATTTAGATTGAACTGCTTAGTATCAGGTGCTTCAATCATAAAGTTAAACGCTTAAAGAGATGGTGCCTAACGATCCTGATATCTGGAATATACACATTTGATCATAGGGAATAAAATGACAGTCGCAGAGAAGAAAATTTTCTTTTCGACGAAGTCACCGTCAACAAGGCTGTACATTCGTGTAATTATAATAAATAGGTAAAAAAGTTCCAGTATAGTCTCTGGTCAAGGGTCAGATTAATAAAATTACAATTAGGAATTAAAATGCCATAATAAACAGGGTGACGGATAAAGCTCAAACAAAGTAGCTTCATAAGTACTGAGAAGATTGACATATTGTGCAAATAGGGGTTAGAAACGTAGAAATAATAAAATGACAAAATAAACAGGAAGTTAGAATATGAAAATATGGTAGTGTAAATAGGGGTTAAGAAAACTTAAAAATAGCATCAGTAAACAAGAAGTTTGGATGAGAAAGGCAATGGAATAGTCACTATTAGAAGAATTACCTGTTTATGATGTCCACGGCAAGGACAAGGATTGAACGTAGTTTTTTTTTGGATACATAGTTTGGATTTGAGCTTTTGGATGGCTAATGCCTCCGCTATGCCCAGATGTCCTTATTTTACTCCCTTTGATAGGTTTGATCAAGTCTTGTATATTATTTTGAAGGAGTTTTCGAATGGCGCTGAATGTCCTGAGTTGAACAGATGTTCTGTCACTGGCTTGTAAAAGGAGAACGAAAAAGGGTATATAGTTCAGTTCCACAGATTTGTTAGACAAAGGGGCTCTTGGTTGGTTTCTTAAACTACAGACACTCTTTGCTGTTTAATTTTTCTTTTAAGGAATTTGATCTTCAGCACCAAACCAGCGTAGGCAGAGCTGTTGATGACAGTATGCAGCCATTTGGAATAAAGTTACACATTTACACGTCACTGTTTGATCCTTAGTTAACTCTTTTCTGTTACAGTTCAACCCCACAAATGTTCCATGTATATCCGACAGTGTTTTTTATATGCATTGAGTTTTATCCTATCCAAATAATGTTACAAAACTGAACTCCCTTGACCCCTTATTCCAGCAGTGTTTAACATCTCAGTTACTTAAAAGTTGTATCAATCTTAAAAATTAATAGCAGGTGTTTCAGCTTGAATACAGAGTGCACCTTCGATATTCCCCTCGATCCCATTATTTTTTGTGCGTGGAAGATACCTAGGTGATCACTATATTGTGGGTCAGTTTACTCATAGCCACCTCACCACTGTGAGATATGGCTGCTAAATGTTGAAAGCATGCAAAAGAATAGGAGTTTTACGATAAATATTTAACTTTTAACTTTTCATGTTAGGCGCAGTGATATAGTAAGTGATAAAGAAATCAGACGTATTATTTGGTGAAGAGAATAAGTCAGTCAATAAAGGGTAATTCTAAACTATAGCAGACCAAAATGAAACCTCTGAACTAACAGATTAATGACCTACAGCAACCAACCAGAAGAGTATGTAATACGTAAGTACAGTTAGGGATTTTTAAGAGTTGGTTTGTGACGATTAGATTTGTTTTTTCAAGTTTGACCATAGATTGATATCAGTTGGAGAACCATTGGAAACCGGCACTGGAGTACAGGGCAGCTTTTTCATCCTAGCTTGGGGCTCATTGGCAGTACGCACTCAACGCCAGGGTTCTAAC